TGTGCTGGTTTAAAAGTTAACCAGCAAGGCAAAATGAACTCAATTCAAAAGAGAGATTTATAAGTCAGAATAACAATTTATTAAAATAATGCAATAAGTACAAGTATACAGACAGACAATTGGTTTTAACCCACAAAACCCAAATGTACAAACCCAGCACCCTGGGGTATGAACAAAAGTGGTGTACCTTGGCCCACCCCCCGAGTCCAAAGCAAAGGGAGAGGGGATAAAACCTGCTGGTGGGAGAGCTGCTGCAGTCTGGTCAGAAGTGGTGATTGCAGTCCAGTTGAGGGTGGTGGTCTCAGCCTGGTTGGGAGCAGCGGTGGTCTGCTGTCTTCCTCTGGGTCCCACGAGAGAGAGCTCCAAGGCTCTGAAACTCCCAGTTATATACTCTCCAGTTCAGGCGGGAGTGCTCAGTCCCTCCCTCAGAGTAGGGAATTCCATAAAAGGGCATGCGGATGCTCAGTCCCTCTTATCAGAGCGGGGAATTCCATATAAGGATATCAGAGCAGGGAATTCCATAAAAGGGTACAGGAACATCTTCCCACCTTGCAGGCCTCTACTGACAGCAGTTTTTGGGAAATGGCATGGAGGCTATAGAATACACAGTTTTGGGTTACACCCATCCAGGGATGAATTGGTCCCAGCCGTTCTAACCAGGACAGAGGCTCAAACTGAAAAAAGGCTCTACCCTCAGTCCCTCTGTCCTGCTCTCTGCAGAGGCAACAGTCTGGTTGGCTTTGGATCCTAGGCTCAGGCTGTAGGAGGGCCAGGCTCCTAGAGCCCAAGAGGAGCTGTAGGGAATGAAAGTTCAGCAACAGTTGGGGAAGGTTACTGAAATAGAGAGCAGACTGGAGATGGCAGGAAGTGCTGTAATATTACAAACATTTTAATGCCACCACACAGCTTTCCTGATCAGAGTGAGCCAAACACAGGAGCTTGCAAGCCCTTCTGCCCTGGCTTTCCAGCCATAACAGTGTGGCCTCAACATCAACCCTCCACAGAGAGGGAGCATCTGCATCACCACCAAACACTGCTGGAGTTCAAGAAAATCCTGTGGGATGGCTGCCCTGAGACAGACCTGACTTATAACAGCACACTCTGCCACTGAGAAACGCAGCAAAGCTGGTGCTTTCAGTTGGAAAATTCAGCTATCCACAGGACAAACTTCCTTAAAGGTCTGGGTTCTCCATTATCTATTTTCTACGCAGGAACATCCTGACAAGACCAGAGAGGACAAGGCTGATTTCCCACCTCAGCCATACCTCCCCTTCTGCACCTGACCAACCCCAGCCAGGACCAGGGGCAGGACTGCCACTGAAGGTGTCCCATCACCCACTCAGAGATGCTGGTGTGATTTTTCCGATAAGCTGCTTCAGAGCTGAGGCTTGCTCCTCCAACAGCTGGTTCTTCTCCTCCGTGCTCTTCTGCTTCAGTTGAGCAGCCTGCAGGGCCACTGCAAACCCCCTGTTCTTCCCACGGAGGTCTTCGATCAGCAGTTTGTTCCTGGAGAGTTGGGCCTACAGAAGGGACAGGAGGCTTCAGGTTCAGCATGCCATGCAGGGGTACCAGACAGGGAGGAACACGCAGCACTAACCCCTCTTGCACTCACCTGGGCGTCTCTGAGCTGAGCTGCCCTCTCTGCCAGCATAGCCTCAGCACTCCTCAGGCTGTGTTCCAGCCCCTCTGCCTGCTCCACAGCTGCCTGCAGCAGGTGCTCGTGTTCTGCCTGCAGTGGGCAAGAAAGCCTGTTGTTGGGTTGTCCTAGCACTCCCTTGGCCTCTGGCAACCCTGGACTGTACATTTCCCCAGGGCCCTGGACCTTCACACCCCCTGAAGGAGAGCAGGGGAGGAACACGTGAGGTGCAGGATGCAAAGAGCAGTAGAAAAGGTGTCTAGAGCAGGTCTGCACCTGACAAATTTTAAGACAAGGCACAGATTTCCCAGCAGTGTTTTCTATAAAAACAAGCCAATGGCCTCCCCTCTCCCAGGCATGTCCAGAAAAGCCCAGGGAGAGACATAGTTTCCTTCAATGCAGTTTTTGTGTCTGCTCGTTATAATTCCTTATGTTATAATTTGTTATATCTTTGCCCAGTTTGTCACAAGACAAACTCACAAAAACCCAACACCTCATTGCCCAGTGCCCCAGAGATAAAACCACCCCACTCTGTGAACTCCACACAGAGGGCTCAAACTTTTTTTTTCCCAGTCTGAGCCAAGAGAGTCTCTCCCTGGATAACTCCTGCTCCTCTAGGCACAAGGTAGATACCTGGTCTGGGGTATGAGTGGGGAGGGCTCATGTTTGAGTGCAGAGCAGTGACTGGTTTCATGAGGAATTAAAAGTTGCAGCTGAATTTGAAGGTAAGTGCATTTTCCATGGGGGTTCTTTATATATTGCATCTTCTACTCAAACCTCTGGTGCCTTCAACCACAGCTGCCTTCCAGGCTGCCAGGACAGCAGTGTTCCCTTCACAGTACCCTTGACTGAGCTCCCATAATTACCTGCTTACCTGGGTCCTGACCAGCTGCCTGCATGTTTGCTCAGCCTGCTGGTGGAGGCTTTCCTGGAGCTGCTGAATCTTGCACTGTTCCTCTCTCAAGGTGGTTTGCAGCTGCTCAAACTGCTGCTTTGACACCATGTTGTTCATCTGGGCCTTGGCCTGCTGCAACTGCAGAGCGTGCTGGGTTTGGGCCAGGCTCAGGCTTGCTTTGGCTTCTAAAAGCTGTAAACACAGACAGGTGGATAGCTGGTTACAGCTCTGAGCCAACAATGGGACAGGCTCAGGGTGTGCTGTGGGTGAGAGAAGAGGTTAGGTAGCACCCTCAGCCCACCCTCAGTACCCTGCAGGACCAAGGGAGTGGTGCTTACTGGGCAGCCTGCAAAGCAAGGGACTGAGAGCACCAAGAGCTGCAGGTGGATAAACAGAGACCCTTTGCTGAGCAGCAAGGAGCAGGAGTTGCTGGAGGGCTCCTCTGGGAGGAAATCCCAGCACGAAGGGCCACAATGGCAAGAGACAGAGGGGGCTGCTCACCTGGGTTCTTGGATATATCCCAGGCAAGCTGGCATGTACTACATGTCCTGTACTACATATGTTCTGCTTTCTGCCACCAGCAAAGGGCAAACCTGGTAGTGGGAAGCAGGTCTGGTCCCACTTTGCACTAGGGCTATCCAGGGGTGGCTGACATGGGTAAGCTGTACTTTGGAAAGCCAGTCCCTGAGCCTGTCCACAGGGTAGAATGCAGGAGAGGGATAGTAACACATCTGAAGGTTTCTCACACTGGCTATCTTCTCTCTATCCTGGTGATCCTAGTTCCCCTGCTCTGATCACATTTCCCTTCCCCTCAGACAAGGCCTGTCTGGCTGCTGTCAACCCTGTCCACCCCCTACCTGATCCTGCCACTCCCCCAGCTCCTCTGCCAGCTGAGCCATGGGGAACCACAGCTCCTGGCACCCCTGTGTGAGCCACCTCCACTCAGCCTCCATCCCCTGTGCCCAGCCAGCCTGCACAGGACAAGGACAGAGGGGACATCACAGGCAGCAAGGACCTGTCCCCAGCTGCACCTGAACTGGCTTCAGACATATTTAAGCAGGAGGGAGAATCCTTTGTCCCCCACAAAGAGGAACAGGACAAGTTTTTTCTGACTGGGGAAGGTGTCCAACACAGCCCCCAGCAGGGCAATACCAGCGATCACAGGGACCACTCAGCACCCTGCCACCAACTGAAGGACACCCACCTTCTCCTGCGAGGCCTTCAGCTGCTGTTGGAGCAGCTCCATCTCCATCCAACATGCTGCATGCTTCTGGTGGTGTTCCAGCCTTGCAGCCACCTCTGCTCCTCGTGGCCACTCAGCCTCTGCAAGCCTCTGGCTCTGCAGCTGGGCACTGCCAGGGCCAGCACTGTGACCAGCCTTGCGCCCAGTGAGTTCACAGCCCAGCTGATGCACCTTGACATTTGGGTGGGAGACCTCCTCTTTGCTCTTCTCGCTCTGGAAAAGGTTGGAAAAAAAAAACAAATCATGCACAGAGGCTTGGGGTGGGAACAGAGGCAACAGACACCTAATCTGTCCCACACTGCCCCTGCTGGGTTCTCACCCAGGGACGCTGCTCCAGGGCCTTGTGGGCACTCAGGACAAGTGTCCTCATGTCCCAGCCTGACCAAGGCCCAGCAGCACAGCATTCCTAAATAAGGAAACCTGCACAGCTGACAGCCGTGGGAGAGGTCACTGAGGGGGAAGGGGACACAGAACTGTATGGGTGTGTAAGAGAAATATTAAAATTAGTAAGAATAGAGTATGAATGGAAATGTATCCATGTGCACATGTGAAAGTACAGACAAAAAAGGAGAGTAGGGGCTACAAGAACAGCCCACATTGACACTAAAGGGCACCGTCCCCCAAGTGTTACCCCTAGGACACCTTCCCTTGCAGTAATGTTGAGCAAGGTGCAGTTTCTGACCCGTGTTCTGACCAGACCACAGCAGAGATAACGTCAGCAAGCCTGCATCTAACAGCAGGGTGGCAAGATCCCATTCCTCTGCTGTCCTCACAGGAAAATGGGCAATTCCAAGGGAGGAAAAGCAGGCAATGGGCAGCAGGTTATTGGAAGCTGAAGCCAGCAAGGGCCAGCAAAGGCCACCCTGCTGCAGCTGATGGCCCTGAAGGGTGGGAAAGACATGCAAAAAAACGGGTTGTGGTTCCAAGTCATGAGGTATCCCAGGAACAGAGTCGAGAACTTAAAAGCCTGCCTGCCTTGTTCACATTGCATACAAAAAATCCTGGCCAGGCCTTGTGTGCACATGTCCAAAGGCCTTTGAGCTTGTGGGTTTGAGACTGGGAGTCAGCAAAACCTCTGGGAGAAAGACTGCAAGTAAGTAAAGTCAACCTCATCAGAGACTTTGTAGCAATGCTTTCCCTTCTGTAAGACCTTCACTGGCTTTTGGCACACAGGTTTTCTCTACTTGACAAGTTATAAGATGAAGTTGGTTCTTCAAAGCAAGACTGGGTTTGAATGTTTGAAACAAACATTTTTGTTCTCCTCTATGAGCACGTGCAGTTTTTGTCCTCCTAAATCCTTCAGTCAAGAGCCTGTCAGTGTTCATGGCCTCTTACCAACGCTGTTAACTCTGCTATTTCAGACAGCTCCTCCACCTTCTCTCTGCCCAACTTGTTCATGTGTTTCCTGTTGGGAAGAGGGATACAATCAGCTTCAGGCCAGAGAGCAGCAAACCACAGCTCCCCAGAGGAGGGCCCTGTTTTGGGTAGTCCTACATCTGGTTTTGGCCTGCAACAGGAAGCAAAGCCAAGCAAAAACAGATATGGTCCTGCATTGATTCAGGAGTGAGTCAGGTGTCTCTGCACCAACAGGTGACTCAGCCCAGCCCAGGGCAGAGAGCTGGGGACATCCAAAGTCTTGCAACACTGTCAGAGGCCTAAAAATCATGGGATGAAGAACAGTAGGAGAGACAGATTAACAGACTCTTGATATCATCCACACCAGCAACCTGTCTCTCCTCAAATTTATGGCTCGGTGAGTGACCTCAGTACCTACCTCAAGCTTCCTAAGGCAGAAACAGGCCACTGGCCAAAACATTTGTGTAGCAAAGAAGCTACACAACCCTTCCTCCCACACATACCCATCTCCACAGCCTCCCCAAAACCTGGCTCTGGCCCTGTGCTCTGGCCAAGCCCATCTCAGCACTGTCTGCTTTTGTGTGCAGCAAAGGGCACGCAAGTGCTGGCTTGCTCAGAAATAAGAAAACAGAAGGCAGGTTGAGCCAGCTGAAATCTGGTAAATGCACCTGAGTGGCTGTTCCTTTTATCCACCTATTTGCCACCCTCCTGCAGCTGTCTCTTCTCTTACTCACAGTGTTCACTGCCCTTCTTTGCTAGCCTCAGTTCCTGCTGGAGTCTTCCAAGCTGACTCTTCAACAAGCTGCTCTCCAGCAGCCAGCACAGGTCTCCCTTGCAGGGAAAGACAGCAGAGTGAAAAAACCATGCAAAAGCCCTGTTTACTCTTGGCATTCTATGCTGGCTCCCTGGTCTATTCCCATTTGGTTTCCAAGGACAGCAAGAAATAAAAGAAATCTGAAAAACAACCATCCAGTAACTCAGGCAAAACATGTGGGGACAACCAAGAGACAATGGTAGAGAAGGAGCAGGACTTCAAAGGAAGGGAAATAAAGAGGAATAAGGACAAAGAGCATCAGACTCTGAATTTGTGCGCCTTCCAGCTGGCTAAAATTATTTTGCAGTCTTGCCAAGGAGTGGAAACAAAGCGATTTGGCTCATCAAGACACACCAAGACTTAATTACAGGATCACCAGGTGGTGAGTCCAACCCCTCAACTGCAATAAAGCCATGTCTGGAGAACTCAGCTTGCTTGACACAACAGCTATGACCCCAAATCCAAGGCTCATCATCCTTCCACTTCTATTGGTACTTCCAGTCTCCCAGGAGTCTATGAATACTGGCACTTGTGGGAAGGAGGCTCAATCCTGTTTTAAACAGACAGTCCTATCCAATAGCTACTGCTAAACACCAGTTCCATACAGGATTGCACTCCAACCTGACACTCTCCTGAGCTCTGGGTTCATTTTCCAACTGGTAGACGACATCTTTGAGCTGCATCAGCTCCAGTTGCAACCTAGTCCTTTCTTTCCCTCTCTAGTTCCATTTTGACAGCCAGAATGTCATATTTCCTCCTGTGCTGCTACACCATTCTGTCTCCCAGAGCTTTCTTCTCCTGTTCTTGCCATCCAGATCAAGTCTGTCTCATGTCCTGAGATGCTGCTCTGTCTGCTGTGTGAAAGCATACCTTTTAACTTTGCTCTCTCTGCCTTCTTCCCAAGCACATCCCCTTGTCTATCAAGATTCCATTTCTCCCTGATAAATACTTTCCACTTTGGCACCAGCTTCTAGACTGAGCAGGCCATTTGCTGCAACAGACATCTGCACTGGTCCATCCATCACACAATCTTTCATTTCTTCTCTGTTCCTTATGTGCAACAGGACATTTTGGTCTACCTGCTCATCTGAGTCTTGTGGACCTGCTCCTTTCCCCCCAGAGGACAAGTCTCCAGACACTCTGTCTGTTCCAACACCAGAGCACTCAGCTCCATGGACTCTGCAGTACTCCCATTTCATCCTAGTGCCTTTTCTAATATTTTTCTGCTCAAGCATCTCACACATTTTGGCCTGTTCCTCATTAACCACCTCTTACAACTTTAGCTGACTCTGCTTCCACAGAGACTGTCTTTTTCCTTACAATTACACTGTTGCCTCTCCTGGGCACGCTGCTCTTGAAGGTCTCACCTTGGAGCCTTTATTGTTGGGAAATCACCTCCTCTCACACTAGTGTTGCTGCAATAAAGCCTTACAGCTGTCCTCATGCTGGCATTCACTCCATGACAGCTCTTGGTTATGCTCAGCCTCTGCATCTTTCCTAAAGATAAAAAACACTTTGCTGGCTTGGGTTTGACACCACAGCCTGGAAATCTCAGCCAGCCCCAGAATGCAGGTTTGCTGGAGATGCAATACAAAGTTTTCTGTTTGTTGCAAAGTCAAGGCAATTAGTTAAACCTTACAGAAAGTTCTCAACTATTTTGCACCTCTCAGACACACCCATCACATCTTTTCCAACAACTCTGAAAGCTCCCCACTGTAGTCAGTCCATCTACCACCATCACCAGAGATGGTGGTAACACAGCTTAAATTACTTGTATTCCTATTATTTGGCTTTGTTTGCCTGGTCTACCACAGACTTCAGCCATCACCTCCTTTCTCCTCATCTACCTCATATCTCAGCCCTAAAGAGGAATAATGGCCCTAGCAAAAACCTCTGTTTCTGTATTGCCCAGGGGAACTCTGCTCCTGAAGGGAGACACAGCAGGGAAGAGGCAGGAGGAAAGCCTGGGGACACTGGGGGGGTCTGCTGGAAAGCAGGAAGGAGCAGGCATGGACAGGCAGTTTCCTGCCAATTCCTCTCCAGTCTCCTCTGCAAGGCCACTCTGGCCCCTGGGGATGTTGCAGAACTGGCACCACAAGCACAGGAAGGGAAGATAAACAGTCATTTAGTGACAGCCTCGCTCTTTCACCAGCCAGTCTGTTTTAACTATATAGAGAAATTCAAGACATTTTTTGCTGCTTTTAAGATAACAAGTTGTGATGATATAGCAAGCAGAGGCAGGTTTGTTGAAGGACCAAGAAAGAGAGAGATAATAAGAAAACACTAATGAAAGCTCTCTTGTATCTCTCAGTATTTTGAGATACAGTCTTTGCTTGGGCACTGCCTCTGACACAAGCTTGTAGAACATGCAGGGAAACCTAAAGTCTTGAAATAAAAGCACTCATGTAAGGGGAGTTTCGATGTCTTGCTTCGAGCAGCTGCAGCCCTGCAATACTGCCCAGATTTTCTTCCAAATTAAAGCAGCTCTCCAGCCTCGTGAGGAATCAGCCCAACCTACTCTGGTACGAGCAGGGGATGCACCCCTAATCTCCTGCTTAGCCCCAGAAAGAGCACAGTGCCAGACCTCAGGCTCAATCTGTCCTGGTGCTGCTGTGTCCTCAGTTCTTCTCCCTCCTGGTCCAGCTGCTGCCCTGGATGGCAAATGTCTTCAGTGTGGGGCTGTCCCACCCTGGCCTGCTCCACCTCAAACCTCTCCTCCAGCTCCAGACTCCACATATGCTTTTGCTCTTTCAGGCTACTAATTACAGCCCAGTACTTTGCAACTGTTTCTTCCAGGTCTCTCTTCTGATCTTCCATCTTGTGCATCTCAGCCTTGAAGCTTTCCTCACTGTCCTTCTTCTCTCTCTCAAAGTTTTTCTGCATTAACTCTAGTTGTTCCTTGTAGTAGTTTATCTGTTGGAAGGAGACAGGATTTGGATATTAGCACCATGCTCCTGAGAGCTCCCCTCTCCTCCATTAGCTCTAATACAAGTTGATTTATTGGTCCCTCTCAAGAGGGGACACTCTTCAGGCAGTTCTGGTCCCTGCTGAACTTAGGGCAACAATCAGTCTCACACAGAAGACTCTAACAGGCAGGTACCAGTGGGTCCCATTTCTTTCCAGCAAACAGCACAGTTCTCCCCTTTCTCCTTGTTTACAAGGAACTTCAGAGAGGAGAAGGGAGAGGCCAGGGCATCATCTGCCACTGCTCCTCACATCCTCCCTCCACTGCAGAGTGGTCCCTTGCCAAGATGTGGTGGTGGGTAGCTGCTGCTCCCCACGGCTGCCCTGTAAACACTAGAAACTCCAGGATTTGATGAGCACAAAGGCAGGATTGTGAAGCAGGCAGAGCATCTGTAAGCAGCTTTGTGCTCCTTGAACTGTTCTGACACCTGTGTGGCAGTTTAGAATTTACTCTTGCAGTGCTGCAACAGAAATCCAGCAAGCACCACTGACCTCTCAGTTCAGCAGCAAAAAGAGGAGTAAATGTGGAAACTGAGGCCTCTTACATGAGCACTCTAAAGCTGTCTAAAGAGGGCTGGGCTCACACTGTCACCTTAGGGCAAGTGGGTTAAAGTGTGCTGCAAGCCCAGGGCAACAGGGCTCTGATACACCCTCAGGAGACACCTGGCTGCTTCTCCTCTTGGTCCTGTTGCTGGTTTTACTGTGATAGCTACACCAGGTAATCTCTGGTTCTCCACAAGACCCACACAAACATTTTGCAAGGTGACAGAGATTTCTACAAAGCCTTTGCCAGCCAGCAAGGGCTCCAGACGCTCCTACCAGCTAAGACAGGCTGGAGATGCACATGGAATAATCCCAGCCAAGTGTTGGGGTACCGTGCTGCTTCCCAGCCTGAACTCTCTCTCCAGCAACCCTCCTGGAGCAGATGCCTCATCAGTCATGCTGTAGCAGTTGTGCTTACCAAGAAGTCAGGACATTTCCCTCCACCCCACTCACCTTGGTTTCCAGCTGCACTTTCAGCTCCTGCAGCTGCTCCACTGGGAGTGACATCTCTGTATATGTAGAAGTAGGAACGAGAGGGCTTGGAGAGGGGCATTCTGGCAGAGAGGAGCCCTGTAAGGACAGGCCTACAAGACAGGACTGATAAGAACGGCTGCAGCTTCATCCAGTCAAGTCCACACAACCCCAAAAGATGGAGATTCCCCATCCATCTCATGGGTCCCAGGGCTACATCACTCCTCTCGGCAAGAAGCTTTTATCTAATGCTCAACTTGAATCTCCCGAGCCACAGTTTGGTTGGCTACTTCCTCTTTATTATATTGTGTTTCCCTAACATCCTCAACAGTGAAAATCTGCCTGTTCACTCCTAGCTGCCTAGTCCACAGGTTACCATCACCAGCTCTCGAGTTGGGAACGCCTCTTTCCCTCCTCCCCACCACCCAATTTCCTCTTCTTCCCTCCCACGACTGCCCAGTACCAGAACCTGCAGTGGCAGTTCAGGCACAAGCCACCCCACACTCCCATGTAAAAGTCAATCCGGAGGGAACTCTGTTCCTGCTGAGAAGATGGAGAGGCACTGAACCCTGGAGCACATTACCTCTTGCTGGCAGCCCCGTCACAGCCCTGCTCTCCTGGAGCTGGAGACGCAGCCTTTGCAGCTCCCTCCGCAGCGCCCTGTTCTGGTCATACAGCACCTGAAAAGACCAAAGACTGGTCATGATGTGGCTACAAAGCCCCCCCAGGGTGTGGGAGCTGCCATGTGTACTCAGAGCCTCCTGCTCTCAGGCCCAGCCACAAAGAGCAGAGGCCTCCCCCAGCCCCAGCACAGGGGGATTTTTCTTCCTTCCCAAGCAAATGCAGACATGAAAGAATTTGGAAGTGCCACAGAAGAAATGCAAGTCCAGATTACCATGACCATCACCAGGAGACACTGTAAAATTCAAAGCAACTGGCCCTGCATGCAAAAGCCACGATATCAGGGTTTTTTGCAGACACCTCAAAAGGCCTCACCTTCCTGAGACCCTCCTGACCTAAACCATCATTGCTAGCATCCAACACATAAGAAAGACCATGATCTCAGTACAGGCCCAGAGGTTTGCATTTACATCCTCAAGATACCTCTGCGGGCATCCAAGCTAGGCAACAAGCACTACTGTATGCACACAAAGCAACAGGGAAGCAAGTCCCACAGGGCTCTGGGAGGGAACATTTCCAGGTTGCAGAAGGAATAAAGTGAAGCAAGAAGGTGCTGATCCCATGGGAAGCACAGCAGAAGACAGGTCCTGCTGGTCTCCTGGTGCCAGAGACACCCTGAGGCCAGAACAGGAGTTTATCCCACCTCAGTGCCAACACCAGCCTGCAGCAAGGAGTCAGCTGAACGCTGAGTTATGAGCCACCACGCCAGTGCAATGAGCCACTTCCATGTGGGTGCCTGGAGCTGGAAAACTGCTTGCTTCACTTCACACCCTCCATCCCGTACTGGAAGCAACAGCACACAAGGCATCCTGCCTTCTTCTGGACTGGGGGTCAGACCACTTTGAGCAGACATCAAATTACCTCCCACATGCTGCCACTCAGGAAACTGATGTGTTGCAAGGGACTATGAATTAGGACACTTCCAATTAATAAATATTACTGAGGAGAGGTAGACAAATGCAAACCCAGATTGTTTCATCTCCATTCTACACAGGAAGGGCGGGGGGCTGACAACACTCAACAAGAGTAAAGGATAAACCCGAGTGGGTGCCTTCACAGGGGCAGATGAAGCCTGAAGGTCGAACCTTTCCATCCATCAGCATTCTTATGGACAACTCTGGGGCTGCTCAACAGGAAGAAAAATTGCAGCACCGAGCATATTCAACCCTCTGGTGCCACCTGGAGCAATGCTGCACTGGATTGTGCTCCAGTGTGTTTGCCTTTAATTACAGATTCAAGAGGGGCTGTCTGATGTGTGTACGGAACGACTTTGATGAAAGTGCACATTTCAGCCCTTGCTGGAGGGATGTGATAAGTCACTGTCCCTACTCAGTGGTGTTCCCCAGCCACACACAGCACTTGGGAACAAACGGGCAACATAACAAGCACAGGATTTGGGAGCCAAGGCACAGAGCACTCAGCAACTCACAACATGCAAGATACACAAGTCACTTAAAAATGAGAGAAGGGAAACAGAGGTTGTGCTCATCCCAGACAGCCCAAAGCTCTGGAAGGAGCACATTACCCTGCAGGAAATACAACATACAGAGCACCAATTCCTGGACCATACATACACACCAGATACCTGGACTGGCTCACCTTGACTCTCTAGCAGAGTCCAGCAGCAAGTTTTGTAGGGGTTTGTCAAGTGGGGGCAAGGACAAGGAAGGGAAAAACAAAAGGATAGAAGAATTTCACTGTTAACATGCTTTCCAAATAAGGAGAACAGCTTTCTCCTTCTGCTCAAGAAGAAATGCAACAGAGCCCAAGGTGGTCTGTCCTTATCGACAGAGCTACGTGGTTCCCAAACAAAATAGTCCATGGCTACAGAGTGGCAGGCAGGGAAGAATTTACCATCCACTCCTACTCTCCCTTGCCAAAATCCCAGCAAGGGAAATAACCCATGGAGGGCTGCAGGAGCAAGGAGACACGCTGCTTTACTGAGGGTACAGCTGTCTCCAGCCTCCTCCGAGCAAGGCAAGAGGGATTCTCCTCTGCACCATGGTCAGGGCTGCCTCCTTCCACTCCCCCAGGCCAAAGTGCCCAACAGATGTGCTGAGGAGAGCAGGACTTTCACAATGACTGCTAGAGAACTGCCCATGCGTACCTGGCACTGCCGCTCGTACTCCAGGACAATCTCGGCAAAGAGTTCGCTCTGGCTCAGGAACTCTGGGCTGTGGGGCTCCACCTGGCCCAGCTGCACAAGCACAGGGAAACATCTCTCATCAAGAAAGTTATCACCTCTCCAAATGGAGAGCCAAAAGCTCTACTAAATCACTGAAGTCATGGTGCTACACCCACAGATTCAACAGAAGGGTTCGTATTGTCACCTGTGGGATGAGTCAGATGCAGAAAGAGGAGGAAAAACATTTTTCTCCACATGTGAGAGACAACAACTACAGGCAGGCAAGCTTTCCTGGCTAACAAGATCACAGACTCATTTCTTTCCCCAGTTTCATTTTACCAGGTGAGTTGTAGGAGTGGAAGATACCAAAACTCACCCTTTACTTCAATACTTGTGAAAAATAAAGCTTTTCTTTTTTCTGGAAACCAAACTTCAAATTTTTTCGCTTGAACACTGCAAATTTGTAAAATTTTCTAAAACTGCAAACTTTCTTCACCCTTTTTTTTCCCAAGCTTCAAAAGGTCTAACTTAAAAGCCAACATTTTTTTCTTTCCAGGTTGTCATCAATGTGCAGGAGAACTCACAGAGGGGGAGACCATAACAACTGAGCCAAAATATGGAAGATCAATTTTTTGACGAGTTCCTGAAAAGTTTCTATTTAACTACAACAGAGAAAGGTTACCTTTTCCTTCACAATGTGGTTGAGTTCTTTCTGCAGCTCCACCACCAGTTCCTCAGAGGCTGACAGTTTCTCAGTCATCTCTGTGACCTTGTTTTGCAGCTCTGTGTTCTGCTGACAAAACAGAGATCTTGATGCAGTGGGTCCTGACATGGCAGGATGGGTTCATCACACACAGGCCTTCAGCAGGAAGCTGTGAAACAACTGGCAGCATGGCAAACACAGCACAGCTCCCAGAAGACCCTGAATTGGACAGCTCCTGGTTCCAGACAGGACAGGAGTCATGCCAGAAGGGTGCCCAGATGTTATTCTACACCACATCATGCCATTGCCACAGGCAGTGGGAAGGGACTGTTTCATGGAGAAAGGCTTTCTTCCAGTGAGAAAATGAGAAAAGGAAAAGTGGCTGCAGGTTGGGCTGGGCTCTTCGGTGAGCATTTTGCACGTAAATCTCTCTCTCTTTCGCACATTTTTGTTATTAGTATTGTTGCTGTTACTGTTTGTTTTCTTATCTCATAGCTGTTTCCTGTAAATTGCTCTTATCTCAACCCACGATATCTGCCTTTTGTGCCTCCAATTCTCCTCTAAAGCCACCCAAGGGACAGAAGATGGAGGAGAGGCAGTGAGCAGCAGTGTGGTTTGGAGAGTCTTGTGGGAGAACTAAATTGGGCAGTACCATTCCTAAACCACAACAGGACAGCACACTGTTGATACCCCATGGGCTGGGGTTAGGCTCATCTCTCCAAAGGACAGGCATAGGAGTGGGTTTTGCAGAATAAGAACTAGACAGCCCCACAGGCTCATCTCTAGCCCTGCTTCACAAAACTATGGTTTCCATCACAAACAAAGGCAGCAAGTCCTGTGCTATCTCCAGCTGTACTTCTACAATGAACAGAACTGGGATGATCCCAGGCATGCAGACACCATCATCTCTGCTTCTGGCATGGTCCCTGGCACAATCATAGCCTTAGCTATTGAGTATCCAGGTGTTATCAAGGGTCAAACCACTTCCAACAAACAACATGGGGGTTTAATAATGTCATGGCAAGGGAACAAGCTCTGTGTTTAATACAATCGTATGGATGTGGCTGATGATTCTTCTGCATAAAATTCTTGTCCTTCCCAGCAAAAGCAATACAAACCATCCATATTTGTCACCACCTCTGCTTTGCCTCATCTGAAGAAGTGAAGATGTTTCACCCAGGGCAGTTTTACTTACCTTCATCACGTGGTTCAGTCTCCCTTGCAGGCTGGCCTCTTTGCCCTGAAGGAACTGTGTATCAGCCTCCAGCTTTGCCTGGTGACTGACTGCTTGCTGCAAAAGCAGCTCTTTTGCTTCTATTTCTGCCTGAAAATCCCTGGGGAAAGAAAGCAACGTGGTTGGGGCACCTGGAGCATGTTCTCAGACGGTCACGAGGTACAGACACCCTCCCTCACCATGCACAAAGCAGGAGATGAGAACTTGGTTGGAAGGATGCTGAAACCATAGTGGGGGAAGGTCTTCAGGGATTTTTCTGCCACTAGCACGTTGACAAAACAAGTGGGAGATTTAACAGGGAGACTGGGATGGGAGGGAGAAGCTGCAGGCACATCTTCCCAGCCCCACCAGAAAGACCCTTCCTACTTGAGCTTGCTCTGGGTGTGCTTGAGAACGACGTACTGCTCGTCCAGCTCCCTGCCAAGATGCAGGCAGCGTCTCTCTGCCTTCTCCAAGTCCAGCTTCGCCTTGTCCCTCTCCCTGGCGATCTTCCTCACCTGGATCCTGCAGACATGGAGAGCAGAGCATTAAGAGACACCTCACACATCCCAGAGAAGAGCCCTTCTCCCGGGGAGCAGCACCCTCACCAGAGGCACTGCAGTTTGTATCCATAGGAGGTGACAGCTGCGTGCTGAAGCCCACTCCTGGGGACCGTGAGTGTGCTGTCCAAGGCTGCAGGCAGTTCTGCCCGGCTCACCTGCTCCTCCATGCTGCTACTCCACCTCTGCAAGCACAGCATAGACTGTAATCACTTCCTCCCTCTTCTAGGAGTTCCAACAGGACTTCTGTTGTCACACCATCTGACCACCCTCCAGTCGTTCAGAGATGCCCTCCCATCTCACAGATAAGCCTAGATCATATCCACCCCAGATTTTCCCCAGCCCTTCCCCAAACCCTGCCACCCCATCATGAACCTTGGCTGCAAGCACTTCTTCCACCCCAGATGGTTGCTTGCTGAAAGGCCTTGCTGCTCACTTCACCCACCACCACCGATCAAGGCAGCACCAGAGACCTTGAGGATCTCCCCTTAGTTCTTCCAGGGCTCAGGTGGCAGTGACAAGCTGAGGATTGGCAAACCTGGTGCCTTTGCTGATGATGGAGGAGTGACGTGGGCCCAGGCAGCTTGGCCAGAAGGACACACCAATTCCCTGCACGTTACCCTCTGCCGCTGAGGAAAAAACAGCAGAGATAAGTCAGTGGGGAAAAACTGGCAGAGAAAAACTGAAGCTTTCCACACTGAAAGGAAACTTCAGAGATCAAATCAATATTGAAGAACATTTTAGAAGCAAGCCCAGGCTGGCAGGAGGGAGATGTTCTGAGCTGCCCTTAAGGCAACTACAATGAGAAGGTTTTGGTGAACACTCAGAAGCCACAGAAAAGCCAACACTGAAAGCTACAGAGTTTACAGTGACAACTGCCAGATGGGGACTTCCAGCCAACATTTTGTTTGACCTAGAGGCTAAAATTGCCTTGAGGTCAGCTTCAAAGGTAAATGAGATTCAGCCAAGCTGACCCAAAAAGCATAAAGCTGATACAGAACTGATAACATCTCCAAAAGCACCAATTTTGTACTGGGTTTGAAAGAGGCCTTAAGTCAAAGTCTTAAGTCAAAAGAACCTGAAACAACTCTTCTTTCTTTTTTGGAGCTGTTTTGCCCAAGATCCTGGGTGGAGCTGTCCTGGCTGTCAGGGTAATCAGAGATTCACTTCCACCAGAGTTACCTCAAAAGCATTTGCAAATGCCTTGCCAGTCCTTGGAACTGAAAGCACTAAAGAGAAAGAAATATTTTACATCAAACAAAGAAAATGTGAATGAAGCTTGATCCATGTGCTAAAAAGAGGACAATCTCTGTCACATGTGAGGTGCAGAGACATCAGCACTTCTGAGGTCAATATTAGAATTGAGGTGATTTTTCCCCTCTGCTACAATGTGCATCCCTCTCCCTCCTATAAAAAGATGAGGCTCAATAGCCCTCTGCTGTTCTGTATTACCATTCCACACCACTTAAGCAGGGTTTGCTCCTACTCAGGCAGTTCCCAAGGGAGCCTTTCAGTCACCATGCAGTGGCTGAAGTACACACTGCACATAAAAAATGACTGACAAGTGGAAAACTCTTCCCAAATCTCCACCTTCAGACGCCCAACTAATGTCTATGAAATCACCCCCTTGTGAAAAAAAACATCTTGGCCTGAATTGTTCTCAGTAAAACCTATTCTTTAGCCTTTTTTTTTGTGGGGGAAATGGACAGAGAAGCCTTTCTAAGTGTGATGTCTGGACTTGTGTCTGGATTCCCTGCAGGACATTGTAAAATATCAAATACAGATTAACTGTCCTGTGTATGGATGAGGCAATGACTTATTGTTCCTTATCCAAAGTCAATGGAAGTCACCTCATGGAGCTGCTGATCAAGGTCATCAACCAGGATCCTTTTTACAAACTCACCCCGTAGAGTGCTAAGTCTTGGCTACTTAAGAGACATTGACTTGCCATGGAAAATGTGGTTGTATGGCTGAACAAGCCAAACTGCAACTCCTCAAAGCTCTTCCATCTCCATGCTTTTCCAGTTTAGTCAATAAATCTGTGCGTTCCCAAGAAATGAGACCAAGAGAAATTCACCAGCTGTAGGAATTTGAAGCACCCAAACTGTTTCTTAAATCCCATCTCTTCTACAGTGCAAATGGAACACAATTTAAAAACGCTCATGGGGGTGCAGTATGCCCACATCCAAACTCTCTGCCCCTCAAAAGAACCCAGAGATCAGCTCTGCGAAAACTGGATCCCAGCTACTTGAATAACATGGACAGAGCAGTGGAGAAGGCATCAGCTGAGGAAAGGCAGTGAGAAGCCTGGATCCTTCTCTAGTCTCTGTTGAGAACCCCTACATCTCATTCCATTGCCTTGTCCCACCTCAGGTTGGCAAAACAACCCTCTCTTGACACCCCTGGCTGGCAGAGGAGGCGACATGAGGCTGCCAACAAGCACATTTCTCTCCCCCCCCCATGCAAACTGCCTGGGGTGTTCCTGGGGCTGGACACTTGGCTTCCACACGGGCACAGTGTGCTGGATATCCCAGGCACGGAGTTCCAGGGAAAACACACATCACACAGGGAAACCAAATGGGACTGACAACCCACGTGTTGCCTCCATCCTGCATTCCAAAGTGTTCTGAAGAACACAAACAGCCTGCGACCACCTTCCCGTCCAGCCCCCTGGATGCTTTTCCTGGGGCACATCAGGAAGAGAGCAGCCAGCAGGTCGAGGGAGGTGATCCTGCCCCTCTACTCGGCCCTGGTGAGGATCACCTGGAGAGCCGTGTCCAGTTCTGGGCTCCTCAGGACAAGAGACACAGAGCTCCTGGAGCAGGTCTAGCAGAGGGCAACAAAGAGGATTAGGGGACTGGAGCACCTCAATTCTGGGGAAAGGCTGAGGGAGCTGTTTAGTGCAGAGAAGACTGAGAGGGGACTTCATCAATGCATGTAAATAACTCGAAGGCGGGTGTCAAGAGGATGGTACCAGAGACCTTTCAGCGGTGCCTAGCGACGGGACAAGGAGCGATGGCCATAAACTAAAACACAAGAAGTTCCACCTGAACATGAGGAACAATTTCTTTACACTGATGGTGGCAGAGCACAGAACAGGCCGCCCAGGGAGGCCGTGGAGTTTCCCCTCTCTGGAGACATTCCAAACCCACCTGGAGGCGTTCCTGTGTCACCCGCTCCAGGTGAGGTGGGGCTGGATGATCCCCAGAGGTCCCTTCCTTCCAGCCCTCACGATTCCGTCACTCCCCGAGGGCACCCCGTGCCCTCCCGCCCCGCGCACACGCATGCGCACAACGCGTTCCCTCCCCTTCCCCGCCCCCGCGCAGGCGCAGAGAGGGCGTGGTGCGCGCGCGGGGCTCGGGGCGGCCATGGCGGGGTCGGCAGGGTCCGCGGGCGGCTCGGCCAGGAAGCGCCTCATGAAGGAGGAGGACATGACCAAGGTGGAGTTCGAGACCAGTGAGGAGGTGGACGTGACGCCCACCTTCGACACCATGGGCCTGCGCGAGGACCTGCTGCGCGGCATCTACGCCTACGGTCAGGGCGGCGGGGAGGGAGGAGGGCGAGAAGAGACAAGGGGGAAGGGGGAAGGGAAAAAAGGGAAGGGGAAGGGGGAGTGGGGAATGGCGGGGTCGTGGTTCGTGGCAGCGCCGTGGTCCGTGGTGGCGCCCGGATGTGGGCCGCGCGCCTGCGCCGTGCGGGGCCGGGGCCGTGTCGGTGTCCCGGGTCCGGCCCTGACGGTGTCGCCGCCCCCGCAGGGTTCGAGAAGCCGTCGGCCATCCAGCAGCGAGCCATCAAGCAGATCATCAAGGGCAGGGACGTGATCGCCCAGTAAGTGGGGCCCTGGGGCGGCGGGAACGGGTGCCCCGAGGGGGTTGTGGGCCCTTGGGCGGGGGGGGTGTGTGTCGGTTGCAGGGTTTGGGCAGTGACCTGATGGTGGTGGGGCGCTGGAACAGATTGCCCAGAGAAGCTGTGGATGCCTCATCCCTGGAAACGTTGAAGGCCAGGCTGGATGGGGCCCACAGCAACCTCGTCTAGTGTGTGGCACCACGGCAGGGTTTGGAACGAGATGATTTTTAAGGTCCCTTCCACCCCAAGCCATTCTGTGGTTTTGTGATATGACGGGCAAAACGGGGTGAAACTGGCCATCCTGCACATGGACTGTGATCCTAACAGTTATTAATGTCAAAGCTGGTTAGGTTTAGTCACTGAAAAAAAAGTGTGTTTTAGAGACAAAGAAGGATATGCATGTCATTGAAAAAAATCCTTTCTAGGTCACTAGTGGGAATTATTAGCCTTCAAAATTGTATTGTTGTTCTCTTGAAAAGAAAAAAAAGTATATGTATGAGAGATTGCAGGAAGTTAAAATGCTGGTCACATAAGGAGTAGGCATGCCAGGGCTGGGGACCCTGCAATGGAATGTTCTGTCCCTGGTATTGCAGATCTCAAAGCCGCTTGACAGGAGATCATACTGTGATCACAACAAGCCTTTGTCAAATACACTGTTGCCATTATTGAGTTCTTTGCAATGGAGGAGTGGCAAAGAACCGAGGGGTGGAATATGTCAAAAGTTGCCTGTGTTGTTTGTCCACACATCCAGAGTATTCACCAAACATCTGTTTTTCAGGTCACAGTCAGGAACAGGGAAGACAGCAACATTCTCCATCTCTGTTCTGCAGTGCCTGGACATACAGGTAATTTCACAGCATGTGCTAAAAATTATTTTTTACTAAATCAATAGTCTTTATCATAAGAAGCATTTTTTTAATAATAAATGAAGCCTTACATTGAAATCTTTTAATTATGGGCAGTGAACCTCAGACGAAATTCTGATTCTACTCTGTAACAGTTTAACTGTTAAAACCAGTCTGGCAAAATAAGTTCAGATAAAGTCTTGTAATTATAAAGCTGGGTTTAACAGACTGTTTCACCTATTAGAGGACTAAGTTAATCTCTCAATAAGCAGAATTGTCTTCAGACAGTCCTGTAGCATTATCAGCCTGTCTGAACAGTTGCCACACATTGCACAGAATCAAACCTAGATTTTTGACTGACAAATGTTTGCTTTTGTTCTGGTCAGGGGTATCATGTCCATGCTTTTTAAGTATTAACTTGAATGGGTAGATGCTATTGAATAAAATGATGGTTTTCTGTGGGCTGGTATCCTCTTAAAGCTTGGATTGTTATTCATTTGTCACTGCTTGGGGACATAAAAAGGAAGGTTGCATGTTCTAAATGCAAAGATCATCTTTTGCTTCATTTCTGTAAAGTGCTCATAATATTTTTCAAAGTTGACGCTTTAAAACATTGTCTTGGAATCCTTGTGCAATGCAAGGTGTTTATCTGAACCAAACATACAAAACTGAAGGGTTTTAAATTTGTTTCTATTTTGGAAGAAAAGTACACACTTTTTTTGGTCAGAAATTGGGTTGGAATGAAAAATAAGTTCTTAAAGAACTGCTTAAATGCTTTCTTGTCAAAAGTAGCTTAAAAGAGGTTGTTGCTGTGTAAATGCTTTATTTGAAAGCTGCTCTCTAGGCATACTGACCCTTAATTCAGCTGTGACATTTCAGAGTGCTGTGGGACCCATAATCTTTTACGCTTGGCTCTATGGCCTGTGATTAACTTCCATGTCATCATTTGTTTTAATCAGGTTCGTGAGACCCAGGCATTGATCTTGGCACCCACTCGAGAGCTAGCTGTGCAGATTCAGAAGGTAAGAGCATTTAAATCCCTGTTTGTAAAGCACTGGCAAGGCCTGGGGCCGATGCTCTGGTGTTCCCCCAGCAGAGCTCAAAGCACAGCTTCCACTGTTTCTTTCTGTTCCTGAAAGAAATAAGAAATTTTCATCTGAGCCATTTTGCTCATCTGCACTGTATCCATTACTGCTTGCATGACTGTGTTGGTTGGCAGTCTAAGGTTGTACACAGTCCTAACTGAATTTTTAAGGACAACACTTTTAAAGCAGCTGTGATCCCTGGGGAACTGGGTTCCCAGTGTTTGAAGACCTGCTGTTGTTGAGGATTGGGAAACACAGACACAAAAAATCCCTCCAACTCCTTGTGCTTACATCTCTTTAAAAAACCCACCTGGCTGTGGTTTGGCTGTGCAGACCTGCGTCTCTTCTCAAGTGCAAACTTAGAAGAGCTCAGGTAATTAAACCATTGCTTTGTATCAACACAGGGGCTTCTTGCTCTGGGGGATTACATGAATGTCCAGTGTCACGCCTGCATTGGAGGGACCAACGTGGGGGAAGACATCCGAAAACTGGATTATGGGCAGCACGTTGTTGCCGGCACTCCAGGCCGTGTGTTTGGTAAGGAAATGTGGGAGGCTACATCACCTCCAGCTTCAGAGCTGAGTTGAGCCATGGGAACATCCTTAGCTTCTGGGTGCTTTGATTTTACATTTATCGTGACACCGTTAATGTAATATTAACGTGAAGTGGAACAAGGTAACATCTTGCTGTAGTAATACCTGGAAAAGGCTAGAAAGAAATCAGTGGGGAGGATAGTATTTTCATTTTCTCTTTTTGTGTTTTGTTTTTCATTGTTGAAGTGTTTCTTTATATGGTGGCATAGGAAAAAAGAATATTTTTTAAGGAGAAAATACTACAATCCCAGAAAATACTTAAGTATCTTCAAGGGGATAGGAGCTAGGTCTACTTGATTGCCAAAGTTAGTCCACATATTCTGTGTACTGGTGGTTGCTCTTTCTTTGTTAAGTCAGGTACACTTGCAGCTGGTACCTTCTGGTTTCGTTGCATGAAGATTTTAAAATTTACTCTTAGTGGCAGTGTTGGCCTTCAAGCTCACATCTTCTGGGTCTCTGAGAAGCAGACAGCCCTGGCTTACACAGGCACCTGTCACTGGGAGAACACAGAGCTAGTCCCCACACGTGGAAAAAAAAAAAAGCAGAGGAAGACCCTGTCCCTGCTGCACCAAAATGCCCTGACAGAGGCTGGGAGCAGTGTAGGCTCACCTGCTTTCAGAGCCTTTTCACCTTACAAAGTGAAATCTTACAGATATGATTCGTCGTCGAAGTTTAAGAACTCGTGCCATCAAAATGCTAGTTTTGGATGAAGCAGATGAAATGCTCAATAAAGGTAAAACATTTGTCTTCCTTTTACTTGCCTTCTCTTCACCTCTTTGAGATTCCAGGGTGTCCCAGCTGGCAGGCCCACTTCTAAAAATTGCTTTTTCCAAAGTTAGACGATTATAGTTAATTGTAGGCTGTAATGGGTTAAACTGCATAATATGCCTTGTCTGATGATACTGATTAATGCATCAATGTTCATCTCATAGCATAGACCCAGTACTGAGTCCCAGATCACATTGTGAAAGAGGAGAATATTTGTGAGAAAGATGTGCTAAACTGTTCTGTGTGATGATTTGCACTGCAGGCTTTAAGGAGCAGATTTATGATGTGTACAGATACCTGCCTCCAGCTACACAGGTGGTTCTAATCAGTGCCACTTTGCCTCATGAAATTCTGGAAATGACCAACAAATTCATGACAGACCCCATTCGCATCTTGGTGAAACGGTGAGTGAGTTTCCTTGGAAAAAACAGGAGTTCTTTGAGTTGGTGCAGCCCTGAGCATTTCACAGTATTAACTGATTATAATATATAGAGAGTCCCTCACCATTACCTGAGTGTTTGCACAGATGCTCATGTCTTGTTTTCCAGCAGAGGCTGGCTTATCACTCTGACTTTATCCTTGTCCAGTTTTGTGTGCTGCTCTTCAGCCTGGCTGCCCCCTTATCCTCCCCATGGATACCAGTTTCTTCTTGGGGAAATCCATCTTTCACACTTATCCAATTCCTGTGCTGCCCCAGAGGATTTTTGTAGGCCTCCTCCATCAATTTCCTATTATATAGCAGGCCACTAAAACCTTTAGCTGACTGATCCCAGATGTTCTTGGAGGCATAGCTTACATCTGGTGGTGTCACAGGTCCGGCACTGGAACTCAGGAGGAGTCAGAGGAGTAAGTGTAGGCAGCCTGACAGGAGGAGCCTTCCTGTTGCCTGACCTCTTCTACTGCCCTCTTTAGTACATTCAAGCTTCTTGAGACTTCCTTCAGTCTCTTGTCAAGAAGCTTGAATGTAAAACAATGAGAACAGAAATTGAAGCTGTCTGTCTAGAGCAGAGCAGTTCTAGTCTCTCTTGAATGGGTCATATTCAAGGCCCTTCTTAGAGCAGAGTTCTCCAAGGACTTTCTAGAACAACTCAGACCTGTGCATGGACCCAGCAACCCACAGCACACAGGGCAGAGGTCTGATCTCCGATGGAGCACATCCTTCTACCTGCTTTGCATGTATTCACCTACTTATGGTGATGTTCTTCCCTACAGTGATGAGTTGACCCTTGAAGGAATCAAGCAGTTTTTCGTGGCTGTGGAGAGGGAAGAATGGAAGTTTGACACCTTGTGTGACCTCTACGACACACTGACAATCACTCAGGCTGTCATCTTTTGTAACACCAAGAGAAAGGTACAGCAGCCAGCAGAGGGGGCATGTTACTTTCTGAGGGTGACTCAGATAATGCTGGGTTAGTTAAGAGGTCTGGTTGCCTCCCTATTTGGAAATAATTCAGTAAGAGCACAAATTAAACATTTGTCTTTGGGATGTGCCTAACTTAAACAACAAGGTTAGAGGCAGACCTGATACAGCTGACAGGAATTGCCTTTTTAGAGAAGTAGGTAAGAATGTGCTTATTGTAATAGCTTGTAATTCCTGAAACAAACCCACACTTTCTGAATAAATGCTCTTACTTCCTTTCAGGGCTTGTGGAGCCCTGTATCATATAGCCAGTGCTTTCTAAGGATTATTCACTTCTGTTAGTTTAAGAATGCCTGTTGAAGTGTCTCAGTCCTTACCAGCAACGTCTCTGCAAATATTCTCTGAACACAACTGATGTGTTTGGCTGTCCTGAGCAGAGAGTTCACCCAGGCTGTTTGTGTTCACAGGTCGACTGGCTCACAGAGAAGATGAGAGAAGCCAACTTCACAGTTTCATCCATGCATGGGGACATGCCACAGAAGGAGAGAGAGTCCATCATGAAAGAGTTTAGGTCTGGTGCAAGGTGAGTGCCTTAAGCAGTATTGCTTTACAGCATTGCTACCTCAGGGCAGGGTTTCTTTAGTGTGTGAAGGGGAGACCTATAGTACCTCCCCTCTCAAAAAGATTTGTTCAGCTCAAATTAGGAAGAGCTCTGATTTCCATCTCTCCCCCTGTGCTGTTGCAGGGTTGGGAGATTACCACTTTCCTAGGAGGGATGCTTGTACTTCTAGGTGTAGAATTAGTCTGTTCTGTTTTGCTGAGGATGTTGAGAGTTGCTGCATTTAAAATAAGGAAAAAGTGCCTGTGTTCTGTCCTGTGTATTTTAAATTGTTGGGAGCATTAGTCCTTCTGAAAGGTACTGTCGTTATTCCTTCTGCGTTGGCACTGCCTTCACTGAAGTTTGGTGATAGGCCATGAGACACCTTTCTGTGCAGCAAAAGTGTAGACACTGCTGCTGTGCTGTGGGCAGGGAGAAGCACAGAATAGCAGGGAATCCCCTGTGCTGAGACTGAGGGTTCTCAGCTCTCACCCCCTTCTCAGTTGGGTGGAACAGTCCTAATTGTCCCTTCTCTTCGCAGCCGAGTCCTTATTTCGACAGATGTTTGGGCCAGAGGCCTGGATGTGCCCCAGGTGTCCCTGATCATTAACTACGACTTGCCCAACAACAGAGAACTCTACATACACAGGTACATTCAGCCTTTGCAGGGGAGAGTGTTTCTGGGTGACTCTTACCCAAGGTGGCTCCATTCCCTCTCTCCATCTGCCTCCACAGAATTGGCCGGTCAGGCAGGTACGGCCGGAAAGGTGTCGCCATCAACTTTGTGAAGAACGACGACATTCGCATCCTGCGGGACATCGAGCAGTACTACTCCACCCAGATAGACGAGATGCCCATGAATGGTGAGTGCAGCTAGCCCCAGCCAGGCTGTTACCCTGCTGCCTCTGAAAAGAAGGGCCACATGCTTTGTTTTGCCACATGCCTCCTTCCCAAGCCCAACCCATCTTGCCTTCCCCTGGGAAGAACCTGGGAGCAGCAGTAGGTGTGCCGCACTGCTGGGCTGTGGCTCTTGGCACACCTGGTGCATACTTTAATTCTTCCATTTTCTCTCGTTTCAGTTGCTGATCTTATCTGAAGGTCCGTGCTTAACAGGAAGCTGTACCATTCGGTACCCTCCATAATTTTGTTTTGGACCCACATCCTTTTACCATACTCCTGGTCATATGTTCTTGAGTTGAGCTGCACTTGGGAACTTGTGTAAATATTGTCTTTGCTCCCACCCATGTTTTTCAATTAAAAAATGAAATTTTACCATAACCTGTGCTTAATTACTTTAACCCAGAATAGTAACAGGCAGGGAGTTTTCAGATACTGCCATACTTGGCTGGCACAATCAAAAAACACATTGGACACTCCGCAGATCAGGTTCATAAAATATGGGGCTTCCTGTGTTCCACCCTTTCATTATTGTTGTGCCAGGCTACCTGATGTACTTTTTAGTTTCTGTAACTCTGAGATTTTCATCTACATGAAAAATCTGTGGTCTGGCCTTAGCCTGCCCTAGGAGAACTGAGTTATAAGATAGCCAGAAATTTCCTGCTGTTTATGTCTTTCTGGAGCCAGAAATCACTGCACTGGTTGCTCCAGATTAGGGTTTCCCCTCCCAAGGAACTTGGGCAGGTGCTTCCTGAAGTGGCAGAACACATATCCAGTGTTGTTGCCTTCTCCACCTCTTTTGGCTACTGTAGCTTGTTACATCTTCCCAGTCATCTCTCCTCATCTGTCTCCCTATGGCATTATGCTGTACTTTGCTAGCTGTAGTATCTTCCACATAGCTTTCCTTCCTTGCTCTCCTGTATCCCTTTTATGAGGCAGGAGTTGGCCAGAGCTATACTGCAGGCGTGGGCTAAGTTACCATGTTCTGCTGTATGCTTTTGCTGTTAAATTGCCTTTTTGCTTGCTCAGGGAGGACGGGCAGCAAGGCTGAATACACCACAGAATTGGAACAGCTCTCAGAACTCCTTTCCTGAGTAGTAGCAGAGTAGCCTGGGATAGAGAAAACAAACATCTATCATCTCCTTTATGCCCCCATGTATTCTGCTAAGAAAGTTTCTTAGTTCCCTTGTACCCACTCTGTGCACAATCCTGATGCTTCTAACAGTACACAGACAAAAGTTGAGAAATACTAATCTTATTTTACTAAGAATACTAATTGTAAGGGGTTGCCCAATGGAGGTGAGGCCACTCCAGCTTCGTGCTCCCATGTGCAACCAGCAGCAGGGCTGAGCCAGCATTCCCACTGGGCACACGTAGGATGTGCTCGTGCCATTCGTACAGGTCAAGGTTCAGCACTGGCACAACTGCACCAACACCGACATCCTGCTTCTCCAGCTGATCAGAATGAAGGTCTGTCAGTGGGAAATACACACACAGGCTCTGGATCCCTCCAGTTACTGGGCAGAGTCTCAGTTAATCCAGTATCCAGCCTCTGGATCACTAGTCTGCTCCTGTGACTGGCACATGGACATGGCCCAAAGCTGCGCTTCAGTTGCTGGTTCAGCCCACCCTTGCACGCACCCCCTGTGAACACCCTTCAGCAGCTGGTCTCCACAGACAAGTCTATCCCATAATTGGTCCTTGGAGCCTCTTTTGCATCCCACAGAGGGAGGCCCACAAATACAAATGGATCCCAGTTAAACCCCAGACCCTCTAAATTAGCCCAGACCTCCTCATCCTTCGAGTTGCCTCAGGAAAAAACAAATGTGTATCTGGCCTAGATTTAGAATTGCTTCAATACCTGACTCTCAGGCCCCTTGTTCTACTTGGTGGCTAAATCCAGCTTGCTATTCACAGAGCAACACACCACCTCACTCTTCCATCGCTGGCACTTAGACTTCTGTGCACATATGCACATAGAGTGGAGTCCCTTCTGCCAGGAGAGGGTAAGAAATGGAGTTAACAGACAAGAACACACACCAGCAACCTGTTGGCACATGACCAGCCCCTTTTATCCCCTAAATCAATTTCCCACACTTGCTCAAAAGTCATTTTGACCCCTTCCTTTTCCCATCTTTGGTCCCTCCCACAAAAACTGACGGGGTTTTGAATTCGTTCTGCAACTTGTTAGCACAGTGTTCATGAAGTCTCCCCCCACATACCCTGTTTCAGTTCTCTACTAGAAGGAAAAAGTGCAGATAAAGCCTTCCAGCTTATTGTCCATATTCTGGAAAGTTCTTTTGCCATCACTGCAGGGCAAGCAGGGCAGAGCACAGCCTCATATCTGAACAGCACCTTCCTGGAGAAGACAAGCAGCAAGGGCAAGCACGGCCTCTCCAAGCCCCCTGTGCGACCCAGTCATTTGACTAAGACATTAATCACCAAAGCACTGGCTTGTTTGAATAACAGTATTTAATCTGTACAGTTTGAAAGAAAGTATCATAAAATGCGACATTCCTACCTCATCTTCAGCATCTTTCACCTGGAGCTGAGCCCTCATCTCCAGAGGGCAGGTAACCACCACTCCCCAGCAGTTCTTTGCAGTGCAAAAGTCACAGTGCAATTGCTTTAGTCCTAGACAGATGATTTCCCTCACTCGAGAGAGGAGACTGATGAAGCTCAAATGTTGATGAAAATTGTTACCATTCAGGAATGCAAAAAATCCCAGCTATTGCACAGAGCCATTTCCAGCTGAAACTACAGCAGTTAATTATTTAGCTGCCTTTACACTCCACACAGTTGATTTAGCCAAGAATGAAAATAAAGCCAGTAACAAGATTTCAGTGATACAGTTGTCGGAGGGCAGAATCTGACAAGCAACTCCTCAAGTCAAGCGTGCTTTAGAATAGCAGGAGGTTTTCTACACAGGGAGGGGGTATGATCTAGACAGATGTCATCTTCCAGAGACAAGCATGTGAGAAACATCAGCTTCAATAGAAAGCTATGAAGTACAATAGACAATTTGTTCATATAATTGTCAGGATAAGTATTTGACATAGTTTATGTAGTAGAATACATACTTGAACATCTTTTAAAAATAAGCACAGATTTCATTTCATATATACACAACTGATTTTAATCATGTACTGAAAATAAATTACAGGAAATAACTTTAAAATGCAACAGAAGACAAGAGTTTCACAACAAACATTCCCACTGATTTTCCCAAGGGGGTGAGAGATTGCAGTGCTCAAGGCAGGTAAATATCACAAATATATCAAAAAACTTCAAATTGTTGATGCATTCACACATTTACATGAGCCACAAACATTCCTTTACAGGAACTGCACTTAGCTACCACAGAACCAGGTTTTGCCATAAACTACAAAACTTTGATACAAAATTGTATTTATATATTTATATTTCATATACATGCCCTATCTGTGATTTCTTAAAAAATAAAAACTAAACACACTGTACAGACAATCCTAACTCATTGCTTGGTAGCTGTAGGCAACATTTTTGGATGGAATTTCTCCCCCAGTAGAATTAATGGCAATATTATATACATGAAGGCTAAACTGCAGAAAAAGACAGCTCAGTTCCAATATGCACCTCCCTCGGGACCAGGTCTGCGAGTTCAAGGCAAGACATGCTCTGCTCTGACCCACTGCCTCCCTTACACACCAATCCTGCCATCAGCAGCGTGAGGAACCAACACATGCATCTGTGTAACACTGGTATAAAAGGCAATAAAGCAAGATATGTATTGTAATGTAGTGGGTGCTCTAATGGCTCCACCGACTGGATACACAGAAACACCTGTAGAGGTGGCGAGGGGATGGTGCAGAGCTGGGTACATTTGGTGAGAGCACACCTTGTGTGGGTCTGATCATGACACTTCCCTGAAATCAGCTCCTGCAGAGGACAGGTTCCCCCTGTAAGCCAGAGACTGCGTAGACTCAAAACACTGGGGGAAGATCCCCTCTCCCTCACCCCCAAACACACACATACACAGTTCACCGGGCCTATACGTAAAACTGACACCCTCCCTCCCACCCCCGGCGGCTTCCACAGCACCAGTTTGTCTGAGAAGCTGAGCACTGACAAACTTACTCTTCCCTGGTGATGGCAGCAATCTGTGAAGCCAATCACACTAAACTACTTCTACAGTTGATTGTAAACTTTGGTTTATTTTTATTTATTTTTTATTATTGAGTTCTCATGGTACAGCAAGCATGTCTAGGATGAGAGGGTAGAGTTGAAGAGGAGACGAACTGTCAGTCTGTCTTTAGTCTGGCATGGTGAGCCACCTGCTCGGTCAGGCCTGCTTTGATAGAGTTTTTTACAGACTGTCTCATATGATCCTCCATCAAATTATCACTCATGGGCTTCAACACCTGTGGAATGAGAAATGTGCAAAAGAAACAAGAAAATGAGGTAACCAAGGAAAAGAAAATATAAAACCATATAAAGAGATGAGACTTGAAATAATGAAAAAACTTAGAATGATGAAGTCTGACACAAAGTGGCATGAACTGAAAGAGAAATGAGTTTTGCTGCTAGAGTAATGAGGTTAAAGCAGTCACATGCTATTGACACAAGTGATACCCCTCCTACATAGCAGTATTTCACTGAATTCAAACCACTTTACAGTTCCTAGAAGATGGATGTGCAATTCCATACCCCATATGCAGCATCAGTCTGGTATGGTTACAGCATTTATGCAGACCGGCCCAGACGGTCCAGCTTATTGTCCTATATGTGTAAGTGTGAACACTTCAGATACAGAAAGAAAGTTAAAAATACTGGCTAGTTTTTCTTCTTGTTATTGTTGGATGAGAGTCGCTGTCGCGGCACTGATGTAAGAGCACGACGAATCGTTCGGCGTCTAAGGACTTCAAAGAGTTTGGAAAACACCTAAAACACGAATTCAGCTGTTAGGAAAAATGGCTCTTAAAACACAGGAGAAAGTCAATCAAGTTCAGGAAAAAAACCTGATTGCCAGTAACTGCTCACCTTCCTGGGATTCCTCTGAAGCATGGAGGGAAAAGAAAAGCAGAGATTCAGAAAAATCAATAGCAAGAACATGGTATCTAATCAGAGCGACTTAGGCAGGACCTGCAGTGCTTTACATATGGTTGGTGATGTGCAGCTGTAACAGCAACACCAGTGAGCTCTTTTGGAGATCACCTTCCTCCAGACCACAAATAGTAAGCTCCTGCCAGCATAAGTCAAGTCTTCCCCCTTCCAGGGAAGGTAACAGTTAAATCAAGCCTTATGTGCTCTGGGTAACCTGCAGCAGCAGCTGCACTCAGCAAGTATTACACATAAAACCAACACCTTCCACTCCTCTTGAAGTGCTCTTCAGCCCCAAGCTCCAAAGCAAGGAGCTACAGTAGTACTGGAGAGCCTCAATTTTAATCACTACTTAGGGGTGTCACTCAAGGTTTAGTACCCTGATGTTCAGTTCCCTCCCCCTATTAAAGATACACTTTCTGCTGCAGTGTTAACTCACAACCTTACTGGGAACCCCATTGGGTTGCTCAGACAGGTCTAGTGTACCACTGCCTAGGATGAACCTTGAACAAAGGAATTTTTCAGCTGTAGAAGCATCTGTACAGAAGGCTCCAGTTAGTTATTTGCTCATGCCTCATAGGACACTCAAATGTCATCCCAGATAAACTCAGTGAGGCCTTTATTTCTAGTAACAGCATCAAAGCATTTCCCTTCTACTGGCACTGGACACAGCTAGTCGAAATGCTCCAAAAACTACTTACAAGAGTTGGTCAGGAATTCTCTACATTGGCCTTAGTGGCACAGCTGTGTCAAATGAATTCAGGCAGTAAAATCTCAGTGCAGAAAGTCTAACAGCTTTGGTGCTGTTAGACTCATGTCTTTTCTTTCAGGACTTTGTCTGTTAAGCATTGCTTGCAATCAGCAGTTGCACCCGCTGAAGTTGTCTCAGACAACATAAATCTTTCTGAAGGAAGAAACCCGCTGTAGCCCCCTTGCGGCAGCTGCTGCAAGTCATCACCCAGCCACTTGTCTCCAAGGACTAGTCAGCCCTTCAGCATCACATCAGGTGAGGAGGGCAGTGTTTCGCCTTTCCCATTTCCTGCACCATCTGAGATACTTTATCCACCACATCTATAGTTTATCTATACCTTTAAAAACAGAATTCCTTGCTCTGAAAAAGTAACAAGGAAGAGTCCCTCCACTCTATCATCCAAGCACTTACTAAGGCCTTTAAGTGACACTTCTTTTATAAGATCCTAACCTTGTTTAACATTCTTTGTGTGGGGCATCTCCTCCTGAAGAGAGCAGTCACACTTCTGAGCAGAATTCCCTTTTGGCAGCACTAGCATTCTCCATTAGGTTAGACCAGCTTTTTACTTACAGCACTAAACAGAAACTGTTTGGTATGTCTGCTCAAGAAAAGAAGATTTTGCAATAAAAACAGATACCAACCTGTTCCCATATAGCTTCAGCAATCTGATCGATGGCTGTTCCAACTTCTCTGAATTCCCCAGAGTACTTAACGTATGCCCACGTACAAAACGATATAAGAGCCATCCCCAGCACGAGATTACACAGGGTAGCTATGGAGTTCATACCGAGGAACCCAGTCAGTCCTGAGATTATATACATGGCAAACATGACTGCAAATAGAGTGGCAGGGGTACGAGCAGCATAAAAGATGTTTTTGCCATCGTTGTGCTTCACAAAGTTTGCATAGATCTCATCGATTTCCACTTCAAGTTGTTCCTGGTAGCGCCGACAGAACTCCTCCCCTCCCATCTTCTTCACGGAGCGGAACTGCCTGATAGCAGTCTCTCTGAAATCCTGGTGCTTCCGCTCGAGGTCCGATGGGGCAATGTAAGGCTTATCTCCCCCACAAATCTGTTAGAGTAATCAGAGATCAGAGAATCACACCCTGGGTATCTTCCGCTGTACAGAAAGCAAAGCTCCCCTTCTCTCTGCCCTTCTCCCAGGCCAGCACCAGACTGCCTCCAGCAGCTCTCTTGGCTCTGTAAGCTCATGGCCTGTCTAGTGAAGCAGCTAAAGGTACTTTGCACCCTAGCACAGCAGGAGCCTTACCTGTCCAACCACACACAGAGCTACAGCACATGACTGAACTCATACTTTCACTGTTCCAAGCCCAGAAGGATAGGACAACGGCCACATGCACACTCCTGCTATGAAAAAGTGA